GAGAGAGGGCACCTCCCTGAAATGAGAGGGACACCTCCATTGTATATTGTAAAGTGCTGCGCAGACTGTTGGCGCTATATTATTCCTGTATAATAATAATAACGCCCCTGAAGTTCACCACATACATAATCTGATTGTACAATTCCCTTTACATCTACCAACAAGTATGTAGTACAAGGGTCTAGCTCATAGTTTTGTACAGACATTCTACTGTCAAATTGTAACATGTAAGGTGACCCAGTGCAGCAAGTATGATGGTGGGAGGCTGTTCCTGTGAATGTACTGTGTACAGCACGTATGAAGGCAGGGAACGGGTTGGTCGTCCCTGAGGATGCACTGTGTGCACCAGGTATGAAGACGGGGTGTCTGTCCGTAAAAATGTACTGTGTGCAGCACTAAGGGAGCTCGCCGTCCTATTTCACATGGGATTCCCACATCCAGCGGCGCGCAGTGTACCCGCACGTGGCCGCGCACGCTTCCTAGCCCCGCCTTCTCCACGTCACCAGACAGGCCGGCGCAGACATGGCGGAGCGGAGAAGACACAAGAAGAGGATCCAGGTAAGTGAGATGCTGCGGACTAGTTCAGTCCTCCGGGACAGTCGGCACAGGGGTCCTGGTATGGGCAGAAGGGGTACGTGTTCGGGGGTGGCCCAGGACATGTACAGTTATGTATGGGGGGGGGGGCCCCCCCCCCCCCCCCCATGACTATGGCGGATCGAGGCCCGGCGGCTCCTGGGATGTGCTGCCAGCCGTGTGTGGAGGATGGAGCTTTGTGCTGATTGCTGGTTCCTCTGGGTATATACAAGTGATGATGTGTCTATGGAGGACCAGTGATGTGCCCAGCTGTGTCCTGACCACTTCCTGCCACATCTGGAGTCCTGACTGTGTTCTGTGTACAGGACATGAGATGCTAGGGATCACATCTGTTACTACATGCATACAGATCTGTGCTCTGGAGGTCTCCAGATAACCCTCCTATATGTACAGCAATATAACATGCACCGTGTTAAAACTTTACTTTGTAGTTTTGGATGGAGTAGAGAAGAGTTAAAGCCCTGCCAGCCATACAGCCGTCATTCACCTGTATGATACGCAGTGCAGCGGCCAGGAGTCTCCAAATCATTGTGCAGTGTAGAGAAATTAATCTTCATTGGAATGACATCTCTGTAAGACAACCACAGCTTCAGCCAAACTCAGCCAAAAAAGTACCATTGTGAGCGGTCCGTTCTACATGTGAGACGAGGCGGATGGTATGATAAGTGTGACACCATCATCACAGGAATGAGTGTGGAGCTGTTGTATTGCTCATCCACAAATCCGCACATGTGTAGATTTGTGAAAGAGGAATACACCTGCTCCACACTCATTCCTGTGATGATGAGGCTCAACATACCATCCGACCATGCTTATGTGCGGTGCTATTCCTCTCATCCACGAATCCACACATGTGCGGTGCTATTCCTCTCATCCACCAATCCACACATGTGCGGTGCTATTGCACGAATCCACACACGTGCAGTGCTATTCCACAAATCCACACATGTGCAGTGCTATTCCTCTCATCTATGAACCCACACATGTGCGGTTCTATTCCTCTCATCCACGAATCCACACATGTGCGGTTCTATTCCTCTCATCCACGAATCCACACATGTGAGGTTCTATTCCTCTCATCCACCAATCCACACATGTGCGGTTCTATTCCTCTCATCCACGAATCCACACATGTGCGGTTCTATTCCTCTCATCCACGAATCCACACATGTGCGGTTCTATTCCTCTCATCCATGAATCCACACTTGTGAGGTTCTATTCCTCTCATCCACGAATCCACACATGTGCGGTTCTATTCCTCTCATCCACGAATCCACACATGTGCGGTTCTATTCCTCTCATCCACGAATCCACACATGTGCGGTTCTATTCCTCTCATCCACGAATCCACACATGTGCGGTGCTATTCCTCTCTTTCACAAATTCACACTTGTGCTGCGCTATTCCTCTCATCCACGAATCCACACATGTGCAGTGGTATTCCTCTCATCTATGAATCCATACATGTGCGGTGCTATTCCACTCATCCTCACATGTGCGGCGCTATTCCTCTCATCCACGAATCCACACTTGTGCGGCGCTATTCCTCTCATCTATGAATCCACACATGTGCAGTGCTATTCCTCTCATCCACGAATCCACACATGTGCGGTGCTATTCCTCTCATCCACCAATCCACACATGTGCAGTGCCATTTCTCTCATCCACCAATCCACACATGTGCGGTGCTATTCCTTATATCCACACATGTGCGGGGCTATTCCTCTCATCCACCAATTCACACACGTGCGGGGCTATTCCTCATATCCACACACGTGCAGTGCTATTCCTCTCATCCACCAATCCACACATGTGCGGTGCTATTCCTCATATCCACACATGTGAGGTGCTATTCCTCTCATCCACCAATCCACACATGTGTGGTGCTATTCCTCATATCCACACACGTGCAGTGCTATTCATCTCATCCACCAATCCACACATGCGCAATGCTATTCCTCTCATCCACCAATCCACACATGTGCGGGGCTATTCCTCTCATCCACCAATCAACACATGGGCGGTGCTATTCCTCATTTCCACACATGTGCGGCGCTATTCTGCTCATCCACAAATCCACACATGTGCGGTGCTATTCCGCTCATCCACGAATCCACACACGTGCAGTGCTATTCCTCTCATCCACCAATCCACACATGGGCGGTGCTATTCCTTTCATCCACCAATCCACACATGTGCGGTGCTATTCCTCTCCCATATGTGCGGTGCTATTCTGCTCATCCACAAATCCACACGTGTGATGCTATTCCTCTCATCCACACATGTGCAGTGCTATTCTGCTCATCCACAAATCCACACATGTGCGGTGCTATTCCTCATATCCACACATGTGCGGCGCTATTCTGCTCATCCACAAATCCACACATGTGCGGTGCTATTCCTCATATCCACACATGTTCAGTGCTATTCCTCTCATCCACCAATCCACACATGTGCGGGGCTATTCCTCTCATCCACCAATCCACACATGTGCGGGGCTATTCCTCATATCCACACATGTTCAGTGCTATTCCTCTCATCCACCAATCCACACATGTGCGGGGCTATTCCTCTCATCCACCAATCCACACATGTGCGGGGCTATTCCTCATATCCACACACGTGCAGTGCTATTCCTCTCATCCACCAATCCACACATGTGCGGTGCTATTCCTCATATCCACACATGTGAGGTGCTATTCCTCTCATCCACCAATCCACACATGTGCGGTGCTATTCCTCATATCCACCAATCCACACACGTGCAGTGCTATTCCTCTCATCCACCAATCCACACATGTGCGGGGCTATTCCTCTCATCCACCAATCCACACATGTGCGGTGCTATTCCTCTCATCCACCAATCCACACATGGGCGGTGCTATTCCTCATATCCACACATGTGCGGTGCTATTCCTCTCATCCACCAATCCACACATGTGCGGTGCTATTCCTCTCATCCACCAATCCACACATGTGCGGTGCTATTCCTCTCATCCACCAATCCACACATGTGCGGTGCTATTCCTCTCATCCACCAATCCACACATGTGCGGTGCTATTCCTCTCATCCACCAATCCACACATGGGCGGTGCTATTCCTCTCATCCACCAATCCACACATGGGCGGTGCTATTCCTCTCATCCACCAATCCACACATGTTCAGTGCTATTCCTCTCATCCACCAATCCACACATGTTCAGTGCTATTCCTCTCATCCACCAATCCACACATGTGCGGTGCTATTCCTCTCCCATATGTGCGGTGCTATTCTGCTCATCCACATCCAATGTCTTGCTGACATTGATTTCAGGGCTTGTATTCTTGAGTCATAAGACATATGGAGTAGCAAGTATGTGTTAGCACCCTGTGATTTCCAGTACGACCAGCTGTGTAGACACGAGCCTGCGCTCCCGGCTTCCCCCTGTATGTGATACGTGTGTGCACTTGTTATAAAATGTCTTTACAAAGAGCTTAGATTTCAGAAGGCTTTGTCTGTAGAACATGGAACTGCACGATGTCCGGCGCTGGTGACAGAATAGTTAGTGCCATAGGATTTTTATTTTTGGTATGACTTGGAGATAGTTTACTTTCAACACAGCTCTAATGACCAATCCAAATATTCTTTGTTGGCCTGTCTGATATGTGAGCTGATGAATGCTTAAAGCCAAAGAGCAAAGAACTATTTACTAGGGGACTCAAATAAAGCTGTTTTACTTACCTGATCCCGGCTCCCGCAGTGCTCAGCGTTCAGCTCTCCCCCTCCTTTCCGGATGTTGAAATGTCAATGGACCTTCATAAGATGTGATAACGTCGGTGATCTCTAGACCACCGGAGCGAAGGGGAAAACGATAACTGGATTCAGAGATCCAGAGGCTCATTTACTAAAGGAGGATAGAATATTCCCTTCGGAAGGTTAATCCATGTTCACTTAAATTATCCAATGATGTGAAAAGCAAATTCCCATTTGTTCTTTTTATCTGCATATGATTGGTTAGTTAAAGTTAACACCACTGCAATTTATTAAGTGATGTTTCCCAACTCCTTTAGTGGACCTTTACCCTCTTTCACTAAAAATCAGCATTGCTCTGCATCATCTTACATCTTACATTCATTAATTAACCGCTTGCTGACCAGGTGTTTTACACCCCCTTCCTGTCCAGGCCATTTTTCAGTATTTAGCGCTGCGGTAGTTTGACATTTATTCCGTCATGCAACGCTGTACTGAAATAAATTTTATACCATTTCTGGGGGACAGATAAACCTTTCTTTTGGTGGTATTTAATCACCACTGGGGGTTTTATTTTTTACTATATTAAGGGAAAATTACTGAAAATTTTGAAAAAGAAAAGTTTTTTTTACATTATGTTAGGAAACAATTATTATTACCCAATTTTTTGGTAAAATATAAAAGACGGGGGTCACGTCGGGTAAATAGACACCAAACATGTCAAGCCTTAAAATTGCGCGAAATCGCAAAAAACAACTATACCCAAAATTGACCATAGGCGACGCTTTAAACATTTTTACCGCTCATCACTTTGGTGTTATCAGTGATTAATGGCCCTAATTATTGCCCTCACTCTGACGTTCGCGGCGATATGTAACGTGCGGCGCAACGGGTGCAATCGTCATTTTTGCACGTATGCGCACCCGACGAATGTTTGCACGCGTGTATGTATGGGTGGGGACATTTTTTGTGGGTTTTTTTTTTTATTCTTTTCCATGTGTGACTTAATTTATTTTTTTCTCAACTTGAATCTTTTTTTCCTATTTTTTTTTTCCACTTAACTTTATTGTTATCACATAGGGGGCTAAGAAACTCCCCTATGTGATAGCTAAGAGGATGTGACAGGTCCTCTTCATGAGACACCAGCAGAGGGGGAGCGAACAGACCGGCACCTTATACAAGTGATCTGCCGGCTCTATAGCCGACGGATCACTTGTATGTAAACAAGCATTG